AATCTGTATTAATTGCTGTGCAAAAGAGTGCTTTGGAAAATCTGCCAAACCCCTTTAAATTCTTTTGCTGTTAGAGCCAAATTGTTATGAATGGTTGGATGCAAAAATGCGGCCTGCAGGGCAGTGTCCTAGATTTTTTTTGGGCCAGAAATCCTGAAAAAAATATCATTGAGGTAGATGGTGGCAGTTAGGACAAGCCCTACATAAGATCAAGTTAGCTACATCTATTGGCGCTCCAAACGATGCTGCCATTCCATTAAATGTAAATCACAATATTTATGTCCCAAATCTCAGGAGATTCTGGTACAGGGTTAGGGTAGAGGTGTTAACGTCTGAAAAGATTTGATGAACTCATGAGATTTGGGGCAGTTTGGGAAAAGGATAGCTATTGACTGACTTATATGTAGAATACATACAAGTCCTCCCCCTCTGCATTTTCCAGAATGTATGTACATAGAGACATGTAAGAATATAAGAATTACCCTATTTCAATATCTAGTTTCTGGTAGAAGCATTGCATTGTTTAAGGCATCTCCATATCAAGATTTCCTTTAAACATTTCTAAATGCAGAAAGAGGAACCTTCTTGCTGGATCCAACTGGAGTCTCATAGAGTTTTGTGTTTTATTTCTAGTTTAAACAGCCAGGTGTATTTAAAAGCTTATGACAATATGAAGGCTTCTTCATCCCAACATGGAGCTTCATCTAAACATCTTTACAGATATTTCTTGATGCCAATTTATATCAGTGGATGAACTGAAGTCATACTATTGGAAGGCAACAGATACAGTTTGAAGAATCACATTTGTGTAGTCAAGACCTGAATGCAAGCTTCTTTAACAAGAGAACAGATTTAAATTGGCATGAAGAGAATTTACAACATTCTTTCCTACACAACTGAAATCTGGTGAACCTGGCACCAAAACATAGTGCTGTATTAATGTCCCTTATAGGATCTTAATGTTTTCTAGCGAACTTAAAGCGATCTGTATAGACCAATAGATTTTTTTTATAAATGGAGGGGTGATCCCTAAGAGCGACTTTAGGTCTAAATTGAGTATGACATATACAAGTCCTACCGTTTCTTAAAGATGAAAATGAAAGGAAACAGTCTTTAGCATTGTTACTGACTTTTCAAGGAATAATTCTTGAAGCAGGGGAAAATTTTAACAGGGCAGTATAAAATATCTGTAGTGTTTGATTAAAGATCTCTGGAATACAAACTGAGATTGAAAAACTTTTATGGGAATGAGAGCTTAGGAAAAAAATTGGTAATAACACTTGGAGGCAGAAGGGAGGCATTTAACCTTTAAGATCAGTCTCAGGCAGAATTACAGAAAACTCACTGAAACTAATATACTAGTAAAAAGATTATACCAATTATACCAAAGGTATATTATACCAATTATACCAAATTGGCATATCAAATATACTAATGGTATTATATCCAAACCATCAAAATTTATATCTGGGAGGGATGTGGTGATATTGCAACACACAGGCACACTTGATGGGCTTGTTCAAAGATCCAACTGTTTTAGAAATGATATTTTTGGGTATTTTTATACCTTTAGCATAGCTTTACAGTTTGCATTTTCTATAATACCAATTTAAAAACATCTTAATCCAGGATTTTAGCATTTCATTAGTAACTCAATATTTTTGTATCTCATATTTTACTGTTTCACCTATTTAGCAGTTCAGCTTTGAAGTATTTTAGGCATTCTCTAGCATTCTAGCATCTGCACGCTATATTCTATTTTGGCTTGAGCTGTCTTAATTTGTGTAATCTGTGCAGACATTTTTTTTATTTTACAAACTCTGTTTAGAGAGCTTATCGGAGGTGAGTGTCTGACCTCAGCGTTCTGGCACCCTGTCCTTAATTGCTTTAAAGTTTCTAACTGAGGGAGAAAAAATCTATAGCCTTCTAAAAAGAAATTCTACAATATTATAGAAAAGTAAAGATTAAAAAGGGAAAGTGATCCTGAATCGTTATTGCTCCTTTGGAAAGTGAACAGAAGGAAGGCTGATCTGGAAATAACACTGTCTAACCGATCCGTTCAATTTTTCTCCAACAAGGTTATTGTGCACAGAAACTCTCACATTATTGGATTGTGGATTTTTGGGGTATGCATCAGTGATGGGTGCTTAATTCTTTAGACACTCAGTTCTTTGAGAAGTATCCCAACAGATTCCCCATCTTGGGCACTAGGTGGCAGATGAAGTCTTAAATATGAGAGAGTCAGTTCATTCCAAATATGGGTAAATTTCTATCTGAGGATTTTGATTAAAAAAAGGAAAAAAGGATTGGTTATTTCACTTTGGAAAACTGTGGGTTTGGATGTGGGATGGAGAACTTATGTTGTGGCATTAATACTATAGAGAGAACTGGTAATGAAGAGTGAAAATAGGTTAGGGATATTTTTTTTTTCTCCCTAACTTTTGGATCAGCTGAAAGCAGAGCATTTGGGATTGAGTTGCATCTGGCTGACCCAGAAACAACTAGGACAGGCATATTGTGTTGAAGCAAACAAGCAAGGGAGTGACCAATATAAACAATGTTTTTATTGCTTCATATAATATTGCTATCAGGTCAAAACTTTGGGGCAGAAGCCTAGAGCCTACTCTGGAAGAAAGACTTTAAATGTCAAAGCACTGGCTTACTGCATTTTGAAGCTGAGTATTAATTTACATTACCATCTAATATGAGTACCCATAAGACCATTAAAACCAGAGTTTAATAGTAGTAACTGCACTACTATCTTTATGCCAAAGTGGCATGTAACTCAGCTGGGGGCAGGTCTCCCTGTACTGGGGTTGTTCAAACACTTAAAAACAACCATTTGGCAACAGAAGCAATTTATGAGTGATAGAAGGGAACCATGATTTAATGTCAGAAAATTCAGAATGCAGGCCAAAACCAAGAGTTGGCTATGTCATGATGACATTCGGCAGCTCATTCAGAGCAAGGGCAAACGTTCTTGCTCTCACTCCAAATTGGCTTTGATTGGAACTAGTGTGTGGCTAGATCAGATTTATAGTGTCTTTATATTTTCTAATTAGCTAGGATCAACTCAGGAAAATGTCCTATTTGAAATCACAGTATCTAGCCACACAGTAGCTCCAATCAAAGCCAATTTGGAGTGAGAGCAAGAACTTTTTCCCTTGCTAAGCTGCGGATCAGGGAAAGTGGTAACAAGGCTGAAAAAACCATAAGCAAGCTTCTGTGAAACTTTTTACTTCCTGAAACATGTCTTTCCCTGGTGAGTTTCAAATTTTCACTGATGAGAGGAATTGGTGCAGTGTGACTTCTTATCACAGTTCTGAGCAGCTGCAGCAGGATTAGGTGGGACTCTTTCAAATGGGTCTGTTTGTACCTATTCTAACCTGTGTTGTTTGAGGGTTTATTTCTGTATACCTTGGCTGACTCACCCCACAACAAGGGAGGAATTCTGAACGGTGTATTATTTCCCTATGCATCTTCTTGGGTATGTTGACTTCAGTTCCATCTTGTCAACATGCATTGTTACCGAGAACTCAAATCAAGTAGATCAAGGACTTTTGAGTTCTGGTGCTTAATGATTGTGTCATCTGTATGCATCTGTGAAATAAATCACCTCTGTCATATTCAGATATCTTGTTGGTTTTAAAGCATCTGCACGACGTTCCCCTCTGTTGCCAGGCAGTGATTTTTGTAGTCTTTAACAGGCAACTGGAAGCCTTGTAGACCAATTCGGAAAACATTACCTTTGCTATCAGTAGGCCTTGTTTGCCCTCAGTGATAATGTCACCTAGCCAACTCTGTTTGGCAATGTAGTGCTTAAGATTCTTGATTGCTGAGAGCAGCTGAAAATGAGAAGAAACCCTTTGCTAGAAAACACTGCAAATTCGCAAAAACAAATGCAAAGAAGTGAACTTGGAAAATACTTGGCTTCTCCTGAAAAATGTGGAAAATTAGCAGCCCTGGCTAATGTCATGCTTTTGTGTGGTAAGCTGAACCTAATCATCCTTAGGTTCTGGATTTCTTGTGGCACTGAATGATGATTTTGGACAGTCCCATTTTGGTTGTCAGAACATGTGTACACTTAACTTTCAGCTGTTCAAGTCACTGCCCTGCTATTTTATGGACAGAGTGCATCCTGCAGAATAAGCTGTCCGATTGTGCCTGATGATCTTGAATCAACAAGGCAAAGAGTCCTGCATATATGCTTCAAATTAAGGCTGTAAAAGAAATCCACCATAGATTTTATCAGGAGCAACACAGTGTGGTCTGTGCAAACAAATTCCATTGCTGCACAGATAGGGAGCAATGAACAGGATCTACTAGTGTTTATCATTCTGTATTCAATAATCTGCAGGAAAAAAAGGTCAGGTTTTAGAAATACGTGTTTCCAGAATAGGGCATTTGGCCAGTGAAGGTCAACTAAGGCTTAGCAAGGTCAATGAACAATTTGGTGGCTGCATTTACCCAGTACAGAAAGCTAGGTTTGCATTGTACTTCAGAGTTTTCTTTTTGTTTTGCTCTTAGTGTGTTGGGCAAATCCAGCCAAGTCTGATTATTTTGCAATTCAATATTGTGTGAGACCCTAGAAAATAAATTAATTTAGTAATCATGTTAAGCTTCCAGGGAAAGAAGGGCAGCTGTATCAAATAAAGGTAAGTTAGGCAAAATTGTGAGCAAAACATTGAGGAAAATGGGAATGGATAACAAATGCTGATTTTCCAGAGTATTTTTTTTAAAAGATTGCAAAAAATAATACATGGAATGGAAGAATACCTGAAAACATGGACTAGATTCTGATATGCACATTTCCAGTCCTGGCCTTCCAGTCCAGTGTTTTCAAACCATTATAAAGAAGATTGCATTTATTATGGAGCAGACCAAGATAAGCAAACTGTCTCACAGGCATAGACAGAATATGCTTCCCAAGTTGACTTCTCCAAAATGGAAAATGACCTCAAGGGGTTAATCTCTCAGACACACATGTTGATTTTGCTCACCATAAGATGCTGAAAAAGCCAGGAGCGCATAATATTCGTAGCGTGTTTTGGGAGGACTCCTCGTTTGTTCTTTGACTTTTTATCTTCACTGTCAAGAAGAGAGGTCAGGTCCAGGTTAACCTGCAGGGCAGGAAGAAGAGAAAGAAAAGCTTCAACAACAATGCAGGTTAAAAGAAAAAAAAAAGAGCTGGGTTGCCATGGCAACACAGTTCACAATGTTAGTCCCATTTCACGGTGGCTTCCAGGAGGCCTGAGACAGTGTGGTGAGAGACAACGGCAAAACTTAAGAGGAAAGTGATGTTCATTTGGACATTAAAGGGGAAAAAAGGCAGTAGCATTTTCTTCAGGAGGGAGTCAAAACAATCTTCTTGTTAAAAAAAGATGTAGGACTGGAATACAGTGAGATCTCATTAACATTTTTTCATCTGCAGGACCTGGATGGATAAGGACTTGTGCTCTTGGATTAAGGCAATACCTTGGTTCTCACATTGCACTAAGCCCATCAGATGGTTGGTTTGGTTTTGACTTAACAAGTCATGTGATCCCAGCCCTTTTTTAACTTACCCAATAAACCACTGTTAAAATCAAGCATGCTTCAGCTTGATGTATAAATATGCAGATAGTTGAACCAGGTTTAGGAAGGTTCAGCTCTAAAACCTGGGTTCAGTGCCAGGGCTTTCAAGGATAGAGAAGCTAAGAGCCCTGCATCTCCACTGTGTTCCTTGTTATCTACTAAGGGGGGATCTGGCCCAAGACTTTGGGGGAAGAGGGTCTAAGTGCAAATTCCTCCCATTCAAAAGTCTTACTCCTTCTGAGTTGGACACAGCCCCTGTATTGACTTGCATGTGACTTGATCAGGTTTCAAACTTTCCCAACTGTTACATAACACTCTCAAGTTACCAAACCTACTTTTATGCCAGACCCCGTGGTGTGTAAATGACACTATCCTGTTTTTTGCAGCTAGAGTCCTTTACTCTGCCAAGTCTTTACTCAATGTAAGGAACACAGATCTTTCCCACCATTCATTTGCTACTGAAATGAGGGGAACTCTAAGTTTGCATAGATAATTTTTCTATCTGCACATGTAAATGTTATGCATATCTGGCTCCTTGTTACAGTAGATGAATATATTTCCTCTTTTTGGGGCCTGCACAAATAGGTATGCAATGAGGAAAGGGATGGGCCCAGAAATCAGTAGGAAGGGAAAAGTGGTGCTCACGTTGCCATGACCAACTTTCTCCTCCAGGGAGGTTTCCAGCTCTCCCCCCTCCAAAGAGATGTGAGCAGTACAACCAACGATATGGCTCTTTTTAAAGTATGGATGGCCGGCTGGGAGTTATTTTAAAGCAAAATAGGCAAATTAAGTCTTACAGAGGTTTGGTTCATCCATGTTACCTTAAGCTTTTCTAAACTGTTAAGAACATTGCACTATTTAAAAATAAGCAGTTTGCAGATGAATTTCAGTGGTGCCATCTTAGTGGACTTTGTGGGAATGTAATGGTTAGGTGGGCTGGGTTGCAAATAGACCAGTCTGACTAAAGCCTGTGCTAAACCAACTGGCATTTTGAAGAATCTGGTTGAACACTGGGACTTGCTCAAGCATTCGGAACCAGTAGGAACCATCTGTAATGGTAAGTGGGAAAGACCTTGGGAGACAGGGCAAAGAGATACTGCCTAGGGAACTATCAGAAAAGAGACAGCATAGCCCGCAGCTGGATGTTGGGTGGGGCAAGAGGCTCAGAAGGGACCCTCCCTAGTTTCTCGGGCTGTAAAGGAGATGGAAGGAGATTTGTACATCCAGACTTGCAAGATTCTGTTAGTGTAGCTTGACAGTAAAGCAGAATTAGCTTATCTGGTCATGTTTCCTGTCTGGTCTACCTGGTAAGGCTGACACATCTGCAGACAACATCATTCTGAACAGCAAGTAGGAAGCAATTTGATATTATGCATCACAGCCCATTCCAACAAACATATTAAACTCAACAGAAGAGGACTGAAGACCAGCGCATTTCTTTTGGAAATCCACGACTGCAGCAAACCTTCAGGATCAAATCACTCTCTCATCCTCCACACATTTGTTTCTCATGGATGTAGTTCATAAATGCTTAAGCGTATGCATGTCTCAGTAATAGCTGCTCACTTTGGTCAATGCAACTATATTGTGTATACATTCATAGTTTACCCAGTGTGGTACTGGGAACCTGCTTCCCTCCTCCTCCCCCAGTTATAAACAAGCTCCAGTTTCCAGCACACTTTGAGTTCAAAGTTACTTCCAATTATGTTGCCTTAGAATACCCTTCAGTCTTATTAAGCCCTTTTAAAATATGTAATTCTCAATTGGTTGGCTGGCCAGATGGACAGACAACACCCAGATACGGAGGATAGCAAAGAAATATCTTTTTAAAAAGTAGCTGAAAAAAGAGCAAAGAATGATCTTGGGAAGTAGAAAGAGAGAAGTTTTAATGAGGTTGCAGGAAATTGGAAATTTCAGCATCCAGTTTTAAGAGCACACATACACACACCTACTTTTTTTTTTTTGTTCTTCATAAAAACATTTCTCCTGCATGAATTAAACATCAGGATGGCAGCCCTGTGTCAGGTATAAATGATTCCCTCAGGTGCCGCTTGTGATGTATAGCAAGGCCGGGGCTGAATAAATTACTCAGGCAATACAAAAATGACATTAAGAGTGCTTGTCCAGGGCTCCATCAGTCCCACAATATTCCCAGCCTACTTGTATTCAACACATCTGATCAATTTCACTCTAAGATCTGAGCCAGCCACACATTTACACATTTCAGAAGGACTCAGATCTAGATTTTGTTTTTTCCCCCCCTCTGGAATCCCACTCAGAGAGAGCTAAGAATTAGGAGTCTGACAGTGGACCACTGTGTTTTTCAAGCTTTCTATAAAAAAGAAAGGGAAAAAAGCCCTAATCCAGAAAGAGAGAAAGGGAGGGCCAGGGAGACTTTAAAAGAGCTTGCAGACTGACTAGGTGCAATTGTAGTCCCAATAGTGCTGAATCAGTAGGAAGCATTGGCACATCAATGCACACTTTTTTTTTTTAATGATTCAAGCTTCTGTAGCAACCGCTGTTATGATTTGCTTCTCATTAATACAAAATAGGACAGTTAAGAGGAGGGAGAATAACTGGGATACATTTCAAGAAGCAGGTAAAGATTTCTGCATACAAAAATCCGATGGGGAAAACTAACAAGGAAAACTGTTTTCTACCAGAATAAGATCTTAATTATTCATGCCTCTGTTCTCTGAATCTTTGTTTGAATGATTTAAATGTCATGCGGCTGATTATAAAGTATTAAAGGTGGCATTATAAAAGTAGTTGGGTCCTGGTTTGTACCCCGATCCACCATCAGTGATGTCAATACAATGGAGGCAGTTGAATGGTGGGGGGGCTAGTGGCACTGGAGACCCTGTTACGTTCTCCCTTCTTGCCCCATTCCTTCAAGAATGCTGATTATGCAGGGCTACCATGTCTGGACTGTACAAATTAAGATGACTGCTAGATGCCATTTGATGCTGAAGAAGACTTCTGAGAATACCATGGCAGCCATAAAGACAAATGGATCATAGAACAAAACAAACCAGAGTTCTCACTCAAGGCACAAATGACCAGGCTCATCGTAACTTTTGGACATATTAAGCAAAGAACCAGCTCTTTGGAGAGGTCTATAATGCTGGGAAAGGTGGAAGGGAAGAGAAGATGACCAGAAGCAAGATGGAGGAACTCAGCGACAGTGACAATGGGTGTGCCATTGAAAGATTTGAAGGACCAGGTTGGGGACAGATCTTCCTGGAGAAAATCTATTTATGTGGTTGTTAAGAGTCAACACTGACATGGTGGCACATAATCAGTCAGGTGGGTGGCAATGAAGAGTTAGCATTTTCGGGATTCTCTGCTGCTATGCCTAGTGGCGGGGCCCCCGTAGGAGCCATATTAAAAAGCAGAAAAGAAAGGAAAAGAGGAGGAGTGAGGAAAGAGTGACTCTGCTGCTGCTGCTGCTGCTGCTGCTGCTGCTACCACAACCCCCTCTGCTGCTGCTCCTGGGCAAACGGTTACCTTACCAGCAGCAGCAGCAGCATCACAGCTTGATGCACAGGCCTCAGTGGTCTCGGTGGCTTCTCCAGCAAATACCGCTGCCTGCTCTTCTGGCTCTCCTCTTTCCTGCTAGTGAAGGAACAAGGGGGCGACAGAATAAACTTTAGATAGCCACTAAAGGGCAGCAGACCAATGCAGAAAGAATCTTTGCTGCCGTCTAGTGGCCATCCGAATATCTGCAGTGTCCAGGAGAGAGTTACAGGCAGTTGAAGGGAGAGTCTTCTGAATGAGAGGGGGAGGAGGTTCCTGCAGAGTGTATTGGTTAAGCAGGAGGGGGACAGGGATGCTTGGATGACTGGTGAGGTGAGGAGAGACACCCACCAGCTCAGGCCCATTGCTGTTGTGGGGATGGCAGAGAAAAGGTATCTATGTGACCTTCCTCTTCCCTTTCTCTCAATCGCTTTCAGTTGGAGGGATCAGTGCCTAAGTGCTGAAGGGTTCATGTGAGATGTTTGCCTTGGGCTACAGAGAACTCTATTATGCCCCTATCCATCACCACTCCTGAGTGGAGCTAATATGACCTGCACAAGTCTCTCTTGTTCCCCATAAAGGGCAGTTTAGACCTAGTCCCATTAAGTGGTGTGTTTGCTCCCCTCTGCTCCAGTTCATTGGTTGCGCTCATAGGAAAAATACGCAGTTCATGCCAAACCTTGTTTTGCTGTTTATATAGGCTGGATCCATACATTAGACCAAGCCATAGCTGTTCGTTTAATCTTAACTTAGAGCAATGTGTGAACCTAGCTATGATGGATTATAAACTACACTTTATGCTTTAGCATTATATACTTAGATTTATCTTCTTGCTCTGGTTCTTCAGCATTTATGTATGATTTGCAATTGAGCATTCCATATTCCAATTACCTTGGTCTTTTCATATCAGTACTCCTCGCTGCATTGTACAATCTGAATCAACCTTATGGCATTGGCTGCATACAGAAGTGCATACACATTTATATCCCTAAGCAACAACATCACCATAAGAATTCCTTATACATTTACCCATAAATACTTTTAACAACCAAAGGATGTCACAGGTGCTTGTTGTACTCCTGTCTCATCTGCTAAGGATTCGTCACATTCACTCATTTGCACAACATATTCCATAATGAATTCTTATTGTAAACCAGAGTAAGTTGGTAGATTTGGCAGTAAGCAAGTGTAATTATTAAATAAATAAATATTCACTTGTTCATATGCTTTCTCTAAATCTACAGTTAATTTTCTTTCTCACATTCCTACATTTCTCATTGATCTGCTGAAGAGGCTAGACAGCACAATCCGGTGTGCCATAATGTTGCACTGCACTTCCCAAAAATTTCTGGTTGTCATCTCTTGAACCCTTTCAATCCTAATTCTGCCAGATACCTTCCAGGAACACTTATCAAACTAATTCCATTATTTTTTGCATTCACTCTTGCTACTTCTTCCTTTGTACAGGGGAATAATAACAGCTTCTTCTGATTGTCAGGCAAACATGCAGTCTTCATGGACGCGTTAACCAAGTTGCTCAGCAACTCTATAAAGTAGGCTGCATTCATATTTTAACATTATTCTGGTTAGTCTGCCTAAAGCTCCAGCCTTATCATTTTTAACATTCTCGTGGCACTTAAGACATCCTTTGCATCTGTTTTTTCTTGGACACTAACATTTATAGCATTTGTTTGTTTCAGTTCCACTCAACATATCACCATCATTTCCATACAAATATCTAAAACACTGAAGAATTTTCTTCAGTTTTATCCCAAATACTTTCATTGCTTTTATTTTTTATTCCAATCATTCTCCCGGAGGTTCTTCATTTAGCCCCTTTTGCCCACTTGCAAAACGATTTTTTATTTCCATTAAAATGACTATGCATTTTTCTCTGCCTGTTTTATTTTAACCATTCCTGCTCTTTTTGACAACATTCTTTGAAACATTCATCCTGCCTCCCCATATATGTATCATGCCACATCTTCCTCTCATCTTCACTTTTGCAGCAATCTTTCTTTTCTGGGCATTTTTCTCATCCATAGCTTCTTTCACTTCATCATTCCACCAAGTATCCTTTTTCATACTGCCCAACTAGCATAACTCCACACACTTCTGGGCCACTCTGTAATGTAATTGCTTTTACTCTCTTCTGAGCATCAGATATTTACCTCTGTCACCCATCATGACTTGGATCAACTGAGGCCTTTACCTAATCCTTTTCTTAGCAAAACAGAAAATGCGTAGTAGGTTCCCAGCCTTAGTCACACCCATTCCACATGCAGCATTCCCTGCTAATGGTAACTACAGAGCTGGGTGACCCTTTCATAAATGTATAAAATGCTGGTCAGTGACTGTAATAAAGACAATTGAAATGGTCAGTTGGGATCCATTTTAGCCAAAGAATAGTTTTACCCCCAAGCATACTCACGCTATTCCTGTTTCTCTAAATTAGAGGCTGCCTTCTGCAAGCCAACATATTGTATACTATTTTTTAAAATCTTGCATTTAAAAACAGCAGTTCAAACATATCTCCCTCAAACAGTGATTTTCTATAGAGGAATAGCCTTGTGTGGAATGGGCGGATCAGTATCCCCCCCCACACCCCCAAGCCAATGTACATCCATTTATTTCTCCTAATGATAGAGCACTTCAAGCTTCAACACTTCAAGCTTCAAGATCTGCAAAAGCTTCAGAATAACCCAGGGACTTCTGGAGCATCCTTTCCCCTCTTACCTGTGCATTCTGGATCTGAATGGCCCCTTGAGGAATTGCTTGGGTTACCACCTGGCCCTGAGACGTTACCATAGTTACAGGCTGGTAAAGGGCTCCACCTGACAAAGAAATAGGATTTCATAATTTTAAGTAGAAATCTAGTGTCAGCAAACAACAAAGCCAAAATCCAAAACCCACAAGTCAATAAAAGTTTTAACCAACCTTATGTATTTGAAAATATTTTTGAGAAAAACTGGCTCTGGAGGGAACCTATATTATCATCTTTGCCTGAAAGATGTCATGTTCACCCTAAGTTCATAATCATAAGGACTGAGTCAAACATATTGACTCGAAATCTGGACATTCTATGGCTCCCATTTATGGCCCTCAAATACCTTTCTTGCAGCCTGGCCTGCACCACTCCCTGAAAATAGTTAGCAAACAACTAATCAGCAATTTTTTAGCTGGAAAAAATAAGAAAATAAAACAATCTGTTAAATCTGGAATAGACTTATTACACTTCGCATTTTTTAAAATTGTCCCCTGACAGGAAAATCCTGTCTTCATCATTTCCAGTGAGATCCTTGTATTACTGAGTCTCTCACTGGGCCTTTAAAATCATCATCATCATCATCATCATCATCATCATCATCATCATCATCATCATCATCATCATCATCATCATCCCTTAGCTGCTGAAATGTTGCCCAACCTGTGGAATACATGAATAAACAAACAGCCAGTTTTTTTCCCCCCTTAAACTCAAAATTGCCAAAAAGAAGGCACTCAAAGTGAAAAACAAATTTGTTTATTCATTGCTGGCAGCAAGTTTAGGAACTGCTCATGAATGGAAATAGAATATGATTGTACATGGTGAGGTGAGGATTTCACCTTGATGGATGGATAGCTGAACAAATACTTGCATTCCACAGACAAATGTGATAGATTCATTTACTGAAATACAGTTTATACTCATTTCTTATAAAAACAGTAGCTCCATGAAGGTTAAAAAAAGAATGGGTGCAAAGATGCATGCATGAAACCTCATTCCCAGCATGCAATCTGCTCCCTGATAAATCTTCACATGTTGAGCAATAAGATCTGAAGTAGGCGTGCAAGTGAGTTCATCTTACTAATTTGCTTACTAATTCCCACATGATCAGAAGTCTTACTATGGCACAGACTGCACTGGGGGGTAAATGCATTGATTAGAAGTACTTGCTCTTTAATATAAGAGGGGGCAACCTGTGATCTTGGGACTCCAAACAGCCCTTCCAAATCCCTGGACCAAAGCAACTTTTGCTGAAAACTGGTGTCAATGTGTACCACCATTCCGAAGTGGGACACACTAAAAAAAATATAGATGCAGTTCTGACATCTCTTTCTGATGCTAGTTAAGCTTGTTTGACCACAGTGTTTAGTACAATACAGAACTCACGTCCCATGAGGACTTAACTCTAAGAAACTTGTCAATTCCATATGTAAATAGTTAAAGATAGATGACCATCGGAAAGCATGTTGCAGGCAGTTTCCTTAAAAGGGAGAGGCTTTTAAATGTCAATACACTCTTAAAAAAACAAGAAAAAGGCTGTGATTCCTATGCGCTGAATGACCTGGGCAATTTGTGCATAACAGAAAAAAGCAAGATGCGTGTGCATGTGAGGGCGATTCCTGAGGGGCTTGTAAGGGATGTGCAAGTGGGACTTCGCAGTGCTAGAGACTCAATCGCTAACATGTGCTTCAGGCCTCACAGGAGCACCTGGCTATGTTCTCACTCCTGTGGATCCCAAACCACCTTTCTGGAGATTAAATCCAGCCCTGCACCGCCTTATTAAGAAGAGGAGGGTACAGGAAGATGTGTGCACATGTTTTTAAGTTTCCACAGCGTTCCATCTAGATTATGCATAGTTCAAATCTGGTTATCAAAGGGGGTTAAAAATACCAAGCATGCAAAAGACGCAACTAACATGGTCACGGACGTATGCTCCACGCCTCCCACCTGACACAACTTGTGAGTTGACTGTTGCCATGGAGATATTCCCCTGCTGCAGTGCTGAGGCAGGTACCACAATTCCTTGGGGGTTGCCAGGTACGGCTGTCATGGAGTTGGGAGAGTTTTGCAACATATCCTACAGAGAGAGAGAAGAAAAGAGCGGGATGGGGAAGAGAAGTGCAAAAATACTTACTATATCATGTTTCATGTCTAAGGACATCTTTTTTTCTGTAGTGCTTGCCTTATCTCCTTTTGACGTTGAGGCTTATATCATGAGCTGAGACACAAGAAGAGGCTAGTGCTTATTTTATAACTTCTTATAAGGAGCACATCACTTTTATCTCAACATTCTTATCCAGTCCTTAGACAATATCTGACTCACGTTTACTTGATAATGCTGCAACCATGCCTACCAAGGCGGCCTACTCAGAAACTCATGCGGATCAGGATACCATTGTCCTTTGGAGTTTGCGCGGTCCCCACCCCAGTTTTATGATGCAATTCTCAGCTCAAAATAATTGTGCATTTTGGGATAGAGTAAGTTTGAAAATTAAATGCATGTAGATAAAAGAACAAAAGTGGGGGGGAGGAGAGAGAGAAAGAGAGAAATTTCACTTCTTGGAAAGCTGCACACCATTCTTAGCTGAAAATATTTGGCCGACTGTGTTATCAATGCATATTTTTGATAAAAATGTTTGAAAATAAAATACAGATGGAAAAATAGAATTTGAATGATGAGATCTGCTGCTTCCTTGTTGAAAAGCTGGTTTTGTGAGACACGATCAGCCATTAAACTTCTTAGAAACCTCTGATTCCTAAGATTTCAACTGAGCCCCCACAATATGGCCTTGGCAATTCAGCCTTCAGGTTTGTTGAGTACACTGTACAAACCATCTGCTCCACTTGGCTGTCACTAGTCTTGCCAGCAAGACATGCCTTTTGCCAAGGCAAACTAAATTTATAGTGAGACATTCTTTTCCGCAAGCTTGTGGCATTATCAGTATGCGGCACTGGGAAAGCCCCAAAGCAGAATAGATGCAGAACAGAAATATTCAATTATTAAAGAAGACGGTCTTGTCATTGTTTGGGATAACAGGTCAGCATTCAATTAACACTTTTCATTGCTCATTAAATATTTGTCTTATCTAAGTAAACCCATATAGCTAATATTGCTTTCTTGAGGATGTTGATCAACATACAATAAACAATTTTCCAGCATCCAGAAAAATGCAAATGCCTGTGCAAACAACCCAGCAGAAACACTGTTTGGTTGGGTTTTTAATTTCTTATTTCTTTGTAATATCCACAAATTTACTTATAGAGCTGAAAACATTTCCATCGTGGCTTGCAATTCTGAAGGCCCAGAGTTTGAGCCCTGTTGCTTCACTGATATTTAAGAAATTACATCTTGGTTTGCCATTCACAACTAGGGTCGTGGTCCTTCCACATTTCACTGCTTAAGACATCTAGTTGTAATTGCGACTTTTGATTTATTTCTGTCATTATCGGTGGGTAGACTTGTAGGAATCTGCTTGGTGTTTGTTTTGTTTTCACAAATAGCCTGAAGTCCACCGACTGGATCAGATGCAACATAATAGCTGGTGACCAAACATGCATCAACAATGTTGAACAATGAATTTCAGCATAGGATTTTGTTATCTGTAACAGAACCAAACTGGCAAACTCTTTCACACAGAGATCTGCTCCTGGTCTTTTTCCAACAATACTTTTTCAGTAGTCAAACTGGAGAAGAAGTGTTTGAAAATTAACTGGAGAAGAAGTGTTTGAAAATTACAAACCAGAAACTTCTGCAAATATATTCAAAATAATCTAAAGAATTGTGTTAAGTATAGCATATTAACTTATTGTGAGACATAATCCCCAATTTTTCATTTTGATCTGTTATTTATTTCTGTAATAGAACTTAATTGTAATGTGAACTATTGTTTTTATTGCTTGGTGAATCTAGTTTGATATCTTTTAGGTTCAGAGAATATGTTTCATATAGAACAGTCTCACATGAAAAGTCATTGCATTGTAGCAAATCATTAATCCAGTTCTAAGATATCAAAGCCATTTATATGATTTGATTGTTGAAAAGAGCAAATGGAACACAGTCCTGGAATTGGGGGAAAGGAGAAGAGGAAAGGAGTGAAAAAAATTCTCAATTTCACAATGCAAGTTTCTTATGAAATTCAGGTAGAAGAATTTTGCTTTGCTACTTCTGAATTTTGTATGAAAATTTCAAACTTTTATATTTTCAGTAAGCTTATTTTCATCAGCTTTATTTTTCATCTTTTCCATACCATATTGTATGCTTGACTTTATTTAGTGACAAGTGTTTATTCTATAGATTTAAAATGTCTGCAGAATTAATATGCAGACCAGGAAGCTGTGTCACTGCAAACAAAACATGTATCCAGGATTCTTCCAAATCCTTATCTATGATGAGAAATGTCTACTTTTGAATGCACTGCTGTGCTGGTTGTGCGTGTAGAACTTCCAAAAGGCTGGGTTATTTTTCTTGGAGCAAAGCTGCAAAAATGAATATTTTCCGCAGGAGTTTTGTTGTTGTTAAAGAAGCTGATCCCAAAATAATACCTTCAGTGTCACACTATTTTGTGCTGTTCCCTTGTTGAGGAAAGTGACACTCATATTTAGATATCAGTGTGAATACATCTACAGAGTGAATTTGAATTTCAGTGAATGAGTAGACAGTCATGTTTATTCAAGTTTTCATGGAAAGCAAATATAAAACTGAAAGCACAGTCTTTGAAACCCTGAATGCTTTCAAGTTGCCCTAGCATTTCCTAAAGCGGAGATTTTTTCTTTAATAACTTAGATGTCTATTGCTTATAAAAAATGCCCATAATCTGCATTTTCAATAATGGTCAACATTTAGAGGTTAGATAGTACAGTTACTGTATTTACATATGTGAGACAATATCTTTGTCATTCAAGGGATGAATTATCTTTGAGTTATGATCAAAGATTCTTTTCTCCTAATGGAGGGATGGCCATTCAATCATAAGGAGGCTGCTGTACAGTACTACAATTTCCAGCATTTCTTACTATTGGCCTTGCTGATGAGACTGATGACAGTTGAGGTTCAGACCATCTGGAAGGGTCAAAGTCACTGTTGCAACCTTCCCTAATACCCAGATGCTGTTGTATTACAAGCTCCATCATATCTCAGCAGGAGGCATGCTGTATATAGCCCAACAATATACAAGGAGCCATGGTTGGGGAAGGCTGCACTAATGGAAAAAGAAAGGATGACTCCCTTATGCTGTTGGAAGTCCTCCTTCCCTGGAGCAAAGGAATTGTGCATGTAGCCCTCCATGGCTTATATGCACTTATTTGGAAGGTTTCATGATTTTGGATTTGAGTAAATCCTTGAAATACACTGTTCATTATTGGAAAGGATCAGAAACCTACATCCTGAACATTCTTCTTTTGCACAGTGAGAAGAAGGTAACCAGATCCCCTCCTTGTATGGATTCACCACCATCCAGTGATCTTGCTTTCTCCTGCTAGGACCGTTCTTACAATCACACAGGGCAGTGTGAGAAAGAGGGAAGAAAGTGTATCTGGCCACCCAGATCCATGGTTCCAATTGGGAATGTGAATTTCACTTAAATATTTTATTCCATAGTTGTATGCCTTTCCTTCCAGCCTAGTACTTTACATGTGGCAGAATAAAAACTGCCCAATTTGTATAACTGCAGAGGAGAAGAGAGAGTCCCAGTCTCCTGGACTCAGAATTGAGCTTGCGTTCCCCTCTTTTTCCAAGACTACTTGTTCCTCTCTCTCTATTACTCTCTCTCCCTGTAACACAAATCTGAGTAATTAACAACTTGAGAAAAACATTAGCAAGCTGCCTTCAACAATGCTGGCAGCAGAGTGGAATTTTTATCCTGCTGCATCATTTTCCAGTGGGGGGCAAGCTCACCATGAGTGCAGATGATGATTCTTCTATTTCAGGCTGCTAGGATTAATTCTGAACCATGACAAATTTCACACTCTCACTCTCTCCTCTTTCTTAAAACATATACGTAATGCCAAGGTGCTGTGGAAAAAAACCCTTGACTTTCCAGTGCTCTTATCCACTTCCTCCCAGATGTAGTTCTTTTCCAAAGCCCCTTCTACTGTTGCGAGAGGGATTTTTATCACCTCCCCCCGCCCCAACTTGAGACAATCCTAGTCTTATTGCCTTTAGAATGAAAATCCAAGGGCAGTAGATTTATGATTTCATGCAACCTGTCTCCAGTGCATTGAGGCAGCAAAACTTCTACGTCCTCAACATTACTGCATTCAGATGAGATACGCAGATGGGTGGCTAGTTTGGGGAAGTTTACACAGAGATGTGGAATTCAAATATGTAAATAAAATACTGAATGTATTTGTTCTCAATCAAAATAATTCTATGCCATCTTCAGTGAAAACAAGGCACCAGTGAATTAATGTCAACTGAACAAGACTAAGACTGAGTTTCCATGGAGGTCATTCAAACCTAGAACATCTCTGTGAGTTAATGGCATATTTTCCCCACCAAACCAGTGCAAGACCAGGGAACTCTAGGATCAGTATCATAACCTGGAAAAGCTTCTTAAAAGGACATTTGGCCATTCTTCCTCCCACAAAACCAGAGGTAACTTAATAAAGCAATGGAAGAAAATTTCGGCTCGGCAACAAGAAAGTCACATCTAAAAATCTCCATTTTTATTAACCCTTTTAAAAGAAATTTCTCTCTAAAATAGATATCTATGTATCTATGCCAACTAATCTTTAGGCAGATTAAAATATTCTGTTCACAATTTCTGATATCTTCAACCCCTTCCCACCTTAACCATGTAATAATAAACTAAAAAACTACCAGATATGGAACTTAAAGTTATTTACAAGAATCCCAGTATAAAGGTCTGAATAACAACAACAAAAATAATTTATTTCTCTAAAGGAGCTCAAATTTATGCATCAATATTTAATAAAATATTTAATAAAAATAATATACATTTTAATAGTTACATTGTCATATAACTATTAAAAAGATCAGTACTGAGACGTATATAATATTACACACATATACATACAGACATTCTCACATATATCTATTAAACATGTCACATAACAATT